AGGGGCACCGGCCTAGTAGTAGTAGTAGTAGTAGTAGTAGTAGTAGTAGTAGTAGTAGTAGTGTAGTAGTAGTAGTAGTAGTAGTAGTAGTAGTAGTAGTAGTTTTGGTCTAGCGGGGCGCCTACCATCACGACAACACCACTGCCACGTCAAGTATCACGAGAACTTAGGCGTGCTGCTGCGACAACTACTCACAGTGCCAACGGAAGACGCATGAGGCGCAGTCTGGCTGCTTGACCGAAGCAGAGCCGGCAGTGCAATGCGCTGCGCCGACGCGCCGGATGCCTTGGGAGGACATGGAGATTCCCATGGCAGGGTTCATGACTCAACTAGGCCTCCATACCTTGCCCCACTTCCGACCAACCATTTTACGGCGCGGTAGGCTGAGAGTCGCAGGTCCTTATGCCGTCAATCGTTGCAAAAAAAAGAAGACGAAGGCACAACACGGGACCTGGATGCCCAAAACAGGGCGACGGCTGGTCTGGCGTAAGATTCGCTACGAGTATCGTACTGTCAAGAATGCTGAGAGAAGACCTAGATCCCGGTTGTGTTGGTTGCGGCAGCACCAATAACCTCGCGACACAATGAACAACTTGCAACCGGAAGCATCACTATTCCTCCTGCCTCTATAGAGACTGACGAACCATAAGAGCGTGCCACCAACAGGCTCAATGCGATTGAAATGGATCAGATGTAACCGTCCAAAATGATCGCCAAGGCCGCCAAGGACAGCGCTAACAAGGCGACATCTGTAGCCAGCGAACACTACTGGATACAAACGAAGGTCTAGCATGTTGAGCTGCCTGTAGGAGCTCGAAGAATTCGACTAACTCGACTAAATTTCCAGGATCTCTACTATATTTCTGATCAGGAGATTCAAACGAAGGAATCCACAACTCTTCGGGCTCCTACTGGATCCTGATTGTCATCGACAGACCTGCCCCAAGATTCAGCGGTGTGTCGGCCAGACACCCTCCTAATCTAGGGAGCTTCAGTCTGGAACTAAGCAGGAGCTTCAGTCTGGAACTAAGCAAAGATGATTTTCCAACCCTTCGGGCTGTTGTGCATCCGGAAAAGCAAAGTGTCTACGAGACTTTGCATCATTGCGCATTTATTTTTGCTTCTTGCGGTAACCCTGGGGCCCCAAACAACCCAAAGTAACTGCTATTTAGAGTGTAGTGTAAGGTACTATTTCTATACTTGGAGCCTTAGGGAAACAGCATCGCTCTAAGTCCATGCAACTCAGTCCTCATAGTGCTGGTGCCACATAGTACTACGGATCATCTCCTCCAGCTTCGTCGCCTTATCTGGGTCTTGCAAGGCTCGCTTCAAGGTCGCCATAGACAACCTGACGCAGAGAGACGCCGATCCTCTTGCGAGGTCCAACTTGCCGGCTGAAGTCTTGGAGGGTGAATGAGAAGTGTTGTGCTTGACATCATCGGTGTAAGTAGGAGACGGAGACCGAACGAGGTTCCCTTGCTCATAGTCAATGAAGTTTCGGGCCTCGCCGGCGCTTTGCACGATGAACTCCTCAACACCTCCACGTGTGAAGACGTCCAGAACGACCACCTCCCAGCCACCGCGTTGGGGAATGGAGTTGGCCCACTCACAAGCACGACGATGGATCCTGTCTGATGTCGCCGTGATGCACATGCGCACTCTGAAGTTTTGTGGTCCTCCCTCCGTCAAATGTTCCACTCCTTCAAAAATGGGCTTTGCTTCACGCCAATCCGTCAAGAGAAGCACGTTACCACTTGCACTCTGCAGCCAGCTCAGAAAACCGAGGGCCTTCTTATGGCATACCAAAGTCGATCCGAGGCTTGCCGCAACTTCGTGTAACTGAGTCAATGCTTCGACTTGCTCTGCCTTGTGACACCTTTCGTAGCACCAGGCGAGATGGAATGCCTGCTTCTGCGGCCAACAGGCTTGCGCACGAAGCGCAGGAGCCATGTTGGAGGCGGGTTTTGCGGCCGACAGGCGTGCGCCGACGAAGGCACAACAGCACTGCAGGTCGGTCGCCCCTGCGGCCAGCAGGCGTGCGCCAGAAAGGCGCAGTGGCACTGCAGGTCGCAAAGGTAAAATGCGGGAAAATCAAGGAGCAGGCACCTTGCGTTTGAGAGCGAAAGCAGCATCCGGCTTCCACAGCATCCTTGCAAACATGGTCCAGTTCCAAAGTCGCTTCCTGCATAGTCTCCTCTGGCCTCCTACAGACGTTCATTCAGCATGTGTGCACACTCTCCCTGAGTTGTTGCAATGTGGCAGTTTCGGCAGGTTCCTGGCAATCATGGGCCCAGCAGATGCACGACTGAGGCGCAGTCTTCACACTTTTCAGCATCCTCCAAGAGAGTCGGGTTCAGCCACACCTGGACAAGTCGGCACGGCAAGTCGTGGGGGTGTGGGGATGTCGGAGAGAGGGATTATGCCGATTATGCTTGCGGAGTGCAGATGAAGATACCCCCAGGGACTCCTGCACATAACTAGTACCACTCTCGTGATAAGAGGGGGAGTTGGGTGTTTGTGCTTGGTAACTTTGGTACTCAGTCAGGGTGGCGGATTGTACACAACATCTCTCGGCTCCCCTGTTTTGGAGATCAACGGCATCGAGTTTTTCCAGCTGGAGGGATGATCTGCATGCCCGGCTAGGCACTTCTGGGCATCTGTTGATTGATAGCCTCGGTTGCTAGATTTTGCTGTGGTTTCTGTCATGCTTGTCGTTGCTGCCATCGCACCGGAATCGCACCACCAATACGACAGCAACAAACGCAGCAATGGAATGACCATCAAGACGGTGCTCGTGCTAGTAGGGATAGCAGAAGCAGCAGCAGCAGTAGTAGTAGCAGTAGCAGTAGCAGCATCAGCAGCAGCAGTAGCAGTAGCAGTAGCAGCAGCAGCAGCAGCAGCAGCAGCAGCAGCAGCAGCAGCAG